CAAAATAGAATCTGAAATTTGAAAATAAAAGTATGATTTGACTTTCAAAGTCAAAGTATGATTTGGCTTTCATCTATAATCTACATGATGAAAACAATATTATTAGACACTGATATTTTCATTCAAATGAAATTCCTATGAGACCAGTCAACTCATTGGAATGATCATTATTCTGGTAAAATTGAATGAGCATTGAGTGTCTGTCAAAATTTATTAATTTGATTATGATGCTATATTAGCTATAGTTTATTTAAACTGCCATCACACAACTAACTCTACAGAGATCTTGTTAAGATCAAAAATTCAACAAGAAATGAAAAAATCCACTGCAGTACTGTAATTTACAGAGAAAATTCTTTCTTCATTTCTTAAAGATTATATATTTTTAATGAAATGAAGAGCACTGGGCTTCATCTCATCCAAAATCACACTTTACCAATGAAAACACTGGAGGTCACTTAAGTGATTTAACTACGATCACACAACTCATTAGCAATTGACCTAGAATTAGAACCAATATGATAGAGTAAAAATGATGAATACTAATAGAAATTTGTGTTCTTCATAGAGCATTGCTATTAGGTATGAGTTGCTGGTAAAGCCCTTTGTAGAAAGAGATGTGTTTGTTTTAGTGATATGAACAAATATCTCCTTATCATTTACTAGCTTTAGCCCCATCACTTAATCACGGTGGCATGAATCATTTCTGGTAAACAGTGATAGTTTCACCTATGCCTCCTTCTTAGGGTTGTTGTAAAGAGCAAATGAAGAGATTATTTGTTCTGTATTTTATTGATCACTTACACAGCTATACTGTTGTGTTGAGTGATGCCCTAAAAATAAATTTGATTTGGTTCCGCCTATAAGGTCTGCAAGCTGACTGAGGAACTAAGATTTGTCTGTCTTTTCCACCATAGTGTAATGTATATCCATTGCTGTAGGGTTCCAAGGGTCTCAGGCCCTAGGAACTAGCACAGTGTCAGGCATACAGTCAATATTCAATAAATACTACATAAATAAATGAAGAAAAGGCCAACTGAGTACATAGAAATAACAGTATTATAAAGTTACAAGTAGTAAGAGCAGTATAGTTACAGTGAATTGAATGATTTTGGCATTTGTAGGTCATTATATTCCAGAGATCCTAAGAGACCTGAGTTAACATAAACTGAGCTGAGCTTAAAACACCAGAAGACTTTGGGCTGAGGTCCAGTCCTCACACTGTACCAATTCCTTGACTTTGATCAAACCATACTGACTCAGTGTTTTATCTGAGAGAAAGGTTAGGCCATAGAGACCACACCAGTGGTAGTATAAGCAAACGAAGTAGAAAGATAATGGGGGCCAATAGAAATTGAACCAGCCTAGAAAACACTAGCCCTGTCTGAAAGGATCAGCCTTCTCTGATTCTAGCAGACTGTTTCCATTCAAGGAAGACCTACTATTGTTTGATTTCTCACATTTTCAAAAAAAAAATCTAGATTTTCCAACTTTTGAAATTTTCATGTTGGCAACAAATTCAAAACTAAAGCAAACATATTATGACACCACCACACCAGTCAAACAAGTCTTTCTGTGGAATAGATTTGTTTACCTCTAGACTAATGATCTTGAAGATTTGAACAACCAAAATCCTTGTTTTTGCTGCATTTCCTAAACTAAGATTGCTAAGCTTAGGAAATGATGTTATTAATTTTGGAGTGACCCTTCATTTTCCTCAAGCTATATCTTGGTCAACTTTTGTTTACAGGGTTTGGTGCTGTCAGTTTTCCATGCAGGTATTGTCGTAATACCACTATGTAGATGTTGCCTTCTGGGATATTAAAAAAATAATTAATATTTAAAAGCCATGGTATGATCTGGAATTTCTGTGAACCACAGAAGGACAAAAACAAAGAGTTTATCTTTATCAAAGAGTTTATGAAAGGGTTTTGTTGTTCAGTTGCTCTTGCAGAATCTTTTTAAGAATTGTTTTCCCCAAGAGTATGTCCTTAATTGATTGTCAAGAGTTTAGAACTGACAGGAAGAGGTTCTTGGTTTTCCCATCATGCATTTCTCTTCTGGTTTCTGTATCCATTTTCAATGAGCTAGCTGTTTTAAAACAGTAGCTATCTTTTATTATTGCTGACATAGATCTTCAGAAGTTTCCCCCCCCACATTTGCACCATGTAGATTGATTTCTTTTATGTTTATTCAGCTAAAACTTGCATGCATGAGAGAAATCGAAATAGTATGCCATTTGTCATTTTATCTGACCATGTCTTTAAATAATTTCTGCTTCTTTCTTATTGAATATTTGAAAAATAATTTATTTATAACATTTATCTGAAAACCGCCCTGCAGCATATTACAGTATCTTCCATCCACTGACCATATGCTACCCTTCTCCCTCTTTTCTTTTGTATGATGTACTTTTTACAGGAAAAGGACTTCAAACATCTCCTCTTCCTTCCTGTGCCATAGTCTGCCTTCAGCCATTTATCTCAATGGCAGGTTTACTCTGGGGTAACTTAAATTTAAAAATTTGAATTTAAAAAAAGTGTAGAATAACCTGGTACAAGAGTTAGACTATATGATCTAACTTTCTGTTTTCATTTTTTTCCTTTTATGAAAAAAGGTGAAACAAAATTGCATTACAAAATAATAGCAAAATAATAGTTAATATTTTGTATGTTGTTAACTTTAAAGTAGTTGCTCAGGATACAAGATATGACATAAAATTTCTACAATTGATATCAGTACAAATCTTCCTTTTTTAATGAACTAAGAGATATTAATAGTATAACTAACATGCATTTTTCCCTTTTTACTACAAACTTTCATCCATTTCCATCATTTACTTGCTATGTTACTGGAACAAGTTGTTCAATGTTGCTAAATCTTAATTTCCTCATCTGAAAAATGTAGATAAAAATAGTATCATCAAATGATATTAAATCTAACAATGAGTTATGCATAACAATTTACACTGGAACTATAAAAAAAATAATAATTTATTTTGAACCCTTAGAGGAAAAAAGTGGAAAAAAAGCTTTTATAAATCAGGAGGGGAAGAGGAGTTGAAGGGAGGGTAGGGGAATGGGAAAAAAAAACAAATGCTATTGTGTACAGACAGAAATTCCTTATAACTAATGTGATCATTATGTATACCTAAAATGTACAATAAATCTAATTAAAAAAAGAAAAGCATTAGGCTACAAGTAGTATTTGGCTACAACTTAAGGAATAACATTTTACTTACAGACTATTTCTCCAAAAACTTTACCTTTCTTCTCTTCCTTTCTTCCATTATCCTCTTGCCTTGTTCTCTCTTTTTGTCTGTCTCTCTACTTTGTTCATTGAATATTTTAGTACCGACTGTATACCAGATACTGGATAAGAGACCGAGAAAACATTGGTGTTCAAAAGAGCTATATCTTAACTCTCAGGAGTTTGAAGGGTACTGGGCTGAGAGTAAAAGGACCAGTTAGTCCAACAAACACATGTGTATATAATTACAAAGTGTGACATCTAATCAAAATATAGGAGTCCTCTCAATTTTGAATGAACTAAGAGATACTAATAGTATAACTGATTGGCCTTTCAGTTATAACTCTCTTGTTTGAAGACCTGTGAGTGATAATAGCATTACTGATATGTGTAAGGTATTTACTTCTTGCAAAACACTTGTAGTTTTACTTAAAGTTAATAGTGGTGATGTCATGTAGATATTATTAATTCCCACTTCCCAGATGAAGAAGCTGAGAAGTTGCATGACTTATTTAAGGTTATGCATAACCTTATTAAAAGACTCAAGTTAGAATCTTCTGCTTCCAATCTCTAAACTCTATATACTTTCTAGTAGTTTGCAAAATGAGAATTTCTGAAATTACCCAATTCACCTGGCAGCTTCCAAAAATGACTGTAGTATTTAACTGGTGGTTTTGAGCCCAAGCTGAATGCTACAATCCTTGAATAGACCATTTCACTAGATGAACTCTAAATGGCAGTTCTCTGCCAACTCCCCTAGGAGCAAGTTCTGGATACCAGAGAAGGTCATTGAGATTATAGCCCTAATTTAGCAAGATCACTACTGCTCTTGGGAAAACCTACTTGAAACACAGAAAAATTATCTAGATTCTTTCCCACCAACCTCAGTAGTCAGTGCATGTGCCAGAAGTCCTGTCAGTCTCTCATTGTCTAGAATGGAAGCTCCATGAGGACAGACTCAGGTTTTGTGTGCACTACTTTATATTTACCCCTACAGTGTTGTACTAATAGAGCTTAATAAAATTTGTTAAATGAATGAGAAAAATGAGTCAATGTGCAAATGAATGAACACTATGTTAAAATCAATGAAAATACGATATCAAGCTAAAAGGATCTTTGTACATCTTTGCTGAAATTTCTCATGTAAGAAATGATAAAACCTAAGATGTACGTGGTCACAGGCTCAATTTTTAGCAAATCTGGAACAGTGCCTAAGTCTTCTGACCATCTAAACAGCACATTTCTGCTGTTCATTTAAGTGCACCAGAAGGTCACATTTGAACAGCAACATGGAACTAGACGGATACTGTTCAATCGGAGGGTAAAAATTGGAACTGACATTACCTGGGTGTGTACATTTCCAAAAGCACTCAGGGGCAATACCTGTCCTAAAATGGTTTGCTTTTTAAATCTTCCTTTCTATATTAGATAAGATGGACTCAGGGCAAGCAAACACTTTCATTCCTTCTTGAATAGATATTGTAAAATACTTTAGAAGGAACGGGCTTGGCCTGTCGGGTTTCCTGATTGTGCTAGTCTGGGCTAAAATGAGTTTACTGTCTGGACTACAATATATAAATTCAGCTTTTATAAAATACCCAAACTCATTTGCTGACTCAATTTCCTTTGTACTTTTATACACCCAGTGTCCAATCCTTCAGTTACTACATCCATGTTTTATTAAAATCTTTCTTGTTTTTTTAATACAGTAAAAGAAATTGGAACTAAGCAACTTTTTTTTCATCTACCAGTTTCATCACTGAATATCCACTGGGAATTCTTCGTGGACATGAGCAGAGATGCTAGCTTTGATGTGTCACACAGGCTTGGACCAAGGGCATCTGTCTGTGACCAGTAGGGACAGATATGTGGTGAGTCCCCTCAACTCCCAAAGGATCACAAGGCTACCAATGTCTGGAAGCCAGGCAGCAGGCCGAAATGTGGCTTGCTTTCCTTCATTTACTTCAGGTGTGATTTTCTGGTGGAAACATTTTCTCTCGAGTGATAAATCCTTCCTCGTTCTTCATGTACTGGCTACATCTCCTTCTCTTTCCTGAACAAAACAACCTTTCCCCATCAAGAATAAGGATGAACAAACCGAACAGTTTAAAAATACAAACTCAACAGACTGACAGATTCAAGGGAAAGACAGGTGAAACATTAGTTTCTAGCCAGGAGTGACTGGAGCTTTATTGGATTTCTCTCTTTTCTTGTCCTGCTTTGCCATTTCTACTTCTGCCTGGCCATATCCTCTTCAAGGCCAAAAGGGCAAAGTCAGATGTGTCTCCTGGGCTTTCTGCATGCACAGTCCATGCCCAGGCTGGTGGCATTTATCAGTGTGGCCTCGCTGACTGCTTCACCTTAGCATCCCTCAGCCTCCCGCCTGCAGAGAGGAAATGGCAAGCATGTCTGCACTCCCACGGGTGAACGCCACAAATCAAATTGCCATTCCTTCATAAGTCAGACCTGGAAGTAACTCCCATGGGACAACCACTTTCCAGAAGAGCTTTTTCTATTCTGACAAAACCTATGAGGCAACTATTTTGTGAAGAGATTGAATCTAGCCTTCCCATAAGGAAGAAAACTTCTCAAATTATACTGTAGGCTGTGTTGATCCCAGCACCAAGCAGCAAGAGACTTGGAATTCTGGTTTCATTTCTGTTGCTGACCACCTGGGCCCCTTTACTAAAATGTCTTGACCTCTTTGGGCTTTAGTTTTTCAACTTATAACTGAGTGGGAGCAGAAGTAGAAATGATGAAATGGAGGCTTGAGAGTCTGAATTTAAACTGCACATGTACTTCCTTCCTCTGTGAAATTCTTCTTTTTTAAAGCCAGGTGTTTTGATGTCTCTTAGTTGGGCGGCTGCCTGACAGTCCTTCCTGCTCCATCTTGATTAAACTGAGTTTTACTCATTTATCTATCTGTTGGGTCACTGAGCATTTCATTTTGCAACCGCCGGACTAAGTGATCTGAAGTTTACTACTGATTTCAGTGGTCTTTTATTTCCTGGCCCTAAGTCACATGTGACTGAACAAAACAGAGAGAGACGATGTGCCTGTGTAGACTCTAGGTGTCTAACACCCATCCCAGTCCACAAATTTTCCAAATTTTCATGCACAGTGTTCCCATTCTTAGCAGTCGTGGGTACCACTCTGGTAAACGGCTTGACGCTTGATGAAAGAGGAGGACGTGCTGAGTGGCAGCTAAGCATGGCAAGTGAATGTTGTCCAGCAGTTCTGAACTTGCACAAAGGAAAAGCTCTGTGTGAGATGGCAGGTGTATGCATCACCTTGGTTATGTGACCATATAGATCTCCCATCAAGAGGCAGAGTTTACTTTTCCATTCCTTGACTCTGGGCTGCCTTGCGACTTTCTTTGGCCAATACAAGAGAGCAAAAGCGATACTATGCCTCAAGGAGCCTGATATGATTCCATTTGCTGTCTTTGAATCCTGACAGCTTTCATAGGAATAAACCTCAGTCAGCTTGTTCCATAGCAAGGAACACGTAGCCAAGTGATAGCCTTCTAACCCTAGAAATACAGTCATCACTCTGACCAGTAGCTATTGCTGATGCAGGAGTAAACCAAGACCATGCTACAATAACTTTCTAGATGATCCTGGCCCAATGATTGCACAAAAATCAGAAGCTGCTCAAAGTCTTGAGACTGTTTTAAAGCACTAAGCTATGAGATGGTTTGTTATATAGCAGAAACTGATATAGACTCATGTGTTCAATTCATTTTCCATAAACACTGAATAAGAACCATGAAAAAAAAAAAACAGAGTAAGATGCTATCTCTGTTTCCCAGGCCATACAATTTAATTTGAGATAACATAAAGAAGGAGCAATCAAGACTATCGGCATTTAGATTTGAGGATCAAAAGAATTAAGATGTGACATGTACATTTGCCAACTCCTCACAATAAATGTAATCATGTACTGCAAACATGTACTAATACAAATAAAAATTTAAAAAGAGAAGGGAAATGTCTTAGTAAACAAGGTGCCAAAATAGATATTAATGTGTAGAATTTGCACAGGTAAGACAAGAGAGGAATTTACTATTTTGCAGGGGTAGATGAGTAGATAACGGCAATGGTAGCATCACATGAAAACCAGAAGAGACAATAATAGTTCCATTAAATACTTGTGACCCTATTCACTATCCCATCTGTATAAATACAAAGATACAGGACAGGAGTCCAGAACTTAAATGATTCATGGTGGACTGGAAATACAAGACATGATTATATGAAGGGAAAAAAAATGAAACATGAGGCTTCTCTGCTAGCCACACATGGGAGGGAAACTATGACGGCAGAAGAAATGGCAGGGCTCCTGTCTCCTGCCTGGGTAGCAATATGATCGTTGGGGAGATCATCCAGAAAAAATTTTAGGCAAAATCATTGAGGGTAACCAGGGTCTTGTTTTCCATATTTCCTCTCAGGCAGTTGCCATGGTTTAGATTTTAAATGTACCTTAAAGGCTAAGTGCTAGAGGCTTGGTCCTCAGCTGCTGAGAGGTAGAGAAGCCTTTAAGAGGTGGGGTGTACTGGGAGTCTTCAGTCCCTGAGGAGATGCCCTTGAAGTCCTCCCTGCTATCCCTTGACCCCCACTTGCTTCTCAGCCATGAAGTGAGTTGTTTTGCTCTACCATGCACTTCCATCATGCTGTGTACCTCCCCCCATGTCCAAAAATAATGAGGACAATTAATTATAGTCTAGAATTTCCGGAATGACTGAGTCGAAACAAAACTTTTCGATTTATAAGTCAGTTACCCTAGCTTTTTAAAAACAGTAACAGAAAGCTAACAGAGGCACCAAGACATTCTCTGAGGATAACTAATCTGTAGCTGAGGGTGACAAAGGAAATGTTCTTGAAATTTTGGTGATATTTGGCAAGAAATATGCTATTGATCTAGGTTAGATGAGATTAAATGGTGGTGGATGAAGTTTCAAATGGTAAAAAGTCTGTTATATTTATCTCCACATTCTTGGAGATTGGCAGATGAATTAATCTCCTGATTTAAACACCCTTGGGGGATAATTTTTCCTTCTCTAAGCAATGATCATATTTGCAATTTGTAATATGTTAAACTTATTAAACAGTGTCCTTAAGTTTTGTCTGTATACCAAGAAAATTGAAAAAATAGTTTAAATACTTCACTCATAATAAAATATGTTGTTGATTTACAGCTGTTCGAAAAGGCATAAATTAAATGACAAGGGCAGCTGATCCTTTTCCTGGACTATGACTGGCCCCACCCTTGAGATTTTAGAGACTAAGCTTCAGTATTTTCTGGAAAATTTTTAGTAGGCATTCAACCGTGTCAAATGTTTCATAGCTGTGGTCATTGTGATATGTCAACCTGACTTGAATAAGAACTGCCTACCACATTAGTAAATTCTGGGGGTATCTGTGGATGACTAACACGTAAGCCAGCAAACTGAGCGGGGAAGCCCCACCTCAAATGTGGGTGGCAACAACAAATAGGTTGTAGCTTGGACAGAATAAAAAGAGAACTAAAAATAAAAAGAAAGTATTTCATTTGTGGAGGAGTTCTGGGCTTTGACATTGACTTTGGATATTGGTCTCCAGTTTTGTCCGTCTCTCAATGCAGACTCTTCTGCCTTCTGACACAGACTCACCCTAGTGACTACACTGAGCTTCCAGAACTTCAGGCTTCAAGTGCTACTGGGCTCTCTGGCTCTCCTGGGCACGGATGGCCATGGATTCTTCCACCTCTGAGTCTGTAGACAGCCCCTGGGTCTCCTTAGCTCTGATCCTATAAGCCTACCTAGCAAATCCTTTTTTTTATAATTATATACACATTTCATATTGATTCTCTTTCTCTGGAGAGCCCTAACTAATATAATGGTCAAATATGCTGAACATATGATATGTATTATATGCTTCTCATGGAAATTTTTAATTTTAATTTGCAGATATTCTAAGAAATTCTTACTTTTATGAGCTCATTAGGTTTTTTTGAGACAATGTCTCATTATGTATGTTCCAGGATGGCTTTGAATTCACTATGTAAAACAGGCTGGCCTAGAACTTGAAGTGATCCTCTTGCCTCAGCCTCTTAAGTGCTGGGATTACAGGCATGGAGCACCACAGAAATTCTTACTTTTTAAACAGCAATTTAATACTAGTCATTCTCCAGGAACAGCTAGTATACCTTGGAAAATTTTTATCTAATCTGACTTTTCCTTTGCCAGGAGATGGAACCAAATAGAGGCTGTGATGGCAAATTGTATGTGTCAACATGATAGAATCCAGAAGTACTTAGTTAGGTACCTGATTAAATTTTATTTCTGGGCATGTTTATAAGTGTTGCCTTAGTTACTTTTCTCTCATTGCTGAGACAAAATACCTAATGCCCAAAGTTAAAGGAGGGAGAGTTTATTGAGCTCACAATTTTTGGAGGTTTTGTGGAGCCATCATCAGCTGGCTCCAAGGCAGGGTGACTTGGCAGGGGGGATTGCAGAGGAAAAATAGTTCATGGTTCCCACAAGATAGCAAAAGCAGCAAGGCAGAGAGACAACACTCTGTCTGCCCCTTGCATTGCATACAGTCTACCCACCTTAAGGTGGATGTGACACATCCTTAATCCTAGCCAGAACTATGCCAAACCAATCAGTGGACTGATTTGCTAATCATACACTTTTCATCCCAGCATCATACACTCTAGATTCAGCCACCTCTGAAAAAGCCCTAAGACTGCATGAGGCTTTGTGGGGACATCTAGACACAAATCATAACAGGGTTTTTCTGGATAAGGCTATTTGAATTGATAGACTGAGTATAACATATTGCCCTCCCCAGAATGAATGGCATCACCTAGTTCACTGAAGACTTAAGTA